CAGAATTTAGTTTAAATACATTTGTTGAATATAAATCCTAGACTGTCAATTTAAATACAATTTGTTTTAGGTCTTTGATTAGCATTATAAACGTTATGTTTCTTATGTTCGTTAAAGGCAGTTAAACATTGTAAGTCCCAGTTATCGGTATAGCTTATCTGCAGTATATGTACTGTATGTGTGTAAGTTGCAAAAATGTTGGTGAATATTCGAGTGGAAGAGGCTCACTGGCAGGGTAGGGGAATTACTTTAGTCGTTATTTAAATTTTTATCTTACTTACATTTATTGTAATATGTCTTAATTTTTTGTTTGTTTTTCTTTGAACATATAACCAGTGCAAACTAGTCTATGCACTGTAGAAATGTAACACAAAGAGTTTGGTTCAGAAAAGTCGTAAATCCCTTAGACGCTCTCCTGGCTGAATCATCAGTTTAATTCCATTATAATATTTCTATTTCAAAGTAAATGATTTTTTATAAATATTATTTAAAAATGTGCACAGCGAGGTGTATAAAATACTTTACGATATCAAAGCAAATACCAAAATGTCCAATCACAAGGCATATAATCATATTTAAAATATAATTATCTATTCAGTAAAGTGCTTTTATTTTAGCCAATAACAAACTCTTACAGGAACAATATTAAGACAAACTGTAAGCAGTTTTTATGCACTAGGCCATGTTTAAAGCAACCCAATGAAAAATCAAACATTACTTTAACCGGGAGAAGAAGAAGAAAATGATGCAGAAACTATCAATAAAAGCAAGCTAATAGAAATAAACTAAACTAAAAACAAGGAAATCCAGGCACACTGCTGTGTTAAAGGTCCCATGACATGGCCATTTCTACTGATCATAATTCCATTGTTGAGGTCTACTAGAATAGATTTACATTGTTCAATGTTCCAAACTCACATTGGTTTCTCATACAGCATCTGTATGTGTATTCACTCTGTCCTAAACGGCTTGTTGGAGCTCCTGCCCCCCCCCCACCTCCCTGTGAGCCCACTGTGCTCTGATTGGTCAGCTCGCCCACTCTGTTCTGATGAATCCACCACCGTTACAGCGGAACATCAGTCACAATGGCGTTAGCAACCAGAAAATGACACCAGTAATGACAAACAGATGAGAATGCTGCGTGGGGTCTGGGTGCCGTGTTGGCGGGACGTTGCGCGGCTCGCTGCTGTGAGGAGCGGACAGTGTGAGCTGGCTTACTGGTGTCGTTTCCTGGTTGCTGCGTGGGGTCTGCAAGANTATATATATATATATATATATATATACATACACACACACACACACACACGCACACGCACACACACACACATATACACACATACGTAGGCTATTTAATTTGCTAACTATTTTTCAATTATTCATTTTATAATTTGAGTCTCAAAAATGTGAAACCGGACATGGTTTGTTCTTCTTGTTCCGTTGTAAAGGTTTGAACCGGAGGACATTAGTATTTTGGCCTTTTAGCCACACTAGAGTTAGGGGTTTAACAAACACCTTCAAGATGGGCCTTTATTTTGAAATTCCCGTAGCCCACCTGTGTCACCTTTTCTGAAAGAGAACACCTTCTCAGTTAATATATATATATATATATATATATATACATAAATTCAAATAGTGCTTAAACATGAGAGGGTTGTCTTTTTAACGGGAACAGCTGGAGGTCTATTTTTGTTATTTTAAATAAATAATTTCATTTAAATGTCCGGAAAAGACCATTTATATAATTACATTTTAAACTATAAATGTAACTCTTAAATGGGCGTAAGTTATTTCTTCATATTGATCTCAGGTCTTTATAATGAATCACTATACTTATCATGATTATCAATGATGAATAATAAAATAATATCCTTCAAGTGATAATAATTGTTAAAACTGTTTAAAAATGTTCCGTGTGTATATAGAATTTTCGTAGGCTGAGTTTATGACAGAGAAGAATGTGATACCACTTATGATATAAGTAAAAGGAAACCTGTTTTAAATAGAAAATGATGTAAGCCAGTCCACTTAACAATGGAAGGAACATCTTTAAAATTGGTATTCTAGCAATAACAGAGGAACATATTATTTTGACAGAAAATTCCACCTTACTTCCAAAGCAACACACTGTCACTCAGATCTTTCATCTGCCCAGTTATCACAGTCAAATGTTCTCCCGGTATCTGAGCTCTAGTGGAGCTACTGATCTGAGTGCGGCTCGAGTGGAACGGTGTCAGAGTGACCACGGGCTGTTTCCCCTCCTAAAAGCGGGATTGTAATCTTTAAAGAGGCCTGCGTCGCTTGACTCATTTCACTACGGCCTCTGTGGCTTGTTTTCGTCAGAGGAGCCTCGGTTGGATGTTTGCACTTCCTGTCTCTGAGGGTTTTGCAGGCCTGTGTTCTACCAACTAAACACGTCATCACTCAGAGGTGTTAATCGCCTCTTTGTTTGATTACAGCCTTTTAATTGCTGGTGTAATGGATTCTTTTACTGAATAGTTCCCCAACGGACTTTTATTGTGCTTTAATTTCCAAACGATGCTCATTATGCATCATTGTAAAAAAACAATAACAAGCATGCAGTTTAAGTTTTACCAGAAACCCACGTCGGTTATTGCGTGAGTCAGGAAATTGAAACGAAGAAAGGCAGTACAAATAGGACTGATTCAAGTTTAATGAATAAAATAAAAACATTTAGGGGGGGCCACTTTTTTGCCCACTGTCTAAAAATGGGGTATTTACAAAACTTTTGGAGGCATAGAAAAAACAGGAATTAGAGTAAAGAATTATATTAACCTTAGCATATTTGCCTAAATTGGAATGTATATATTTTTAAGTTTTTATCTTAAGCCTAGCATATTGGGCTTTTTAATAAATATTGTTTTTTAAAGGCCTATTGAGATATGTAAACCATTATTTGAAGCATTTAGACCTACATTAGTGTATATATACAGGCATATATATATACCTGTATATATACTGTATATACATCTTTTTCATTTATGTGATATTCAATGGCAATTTCTATACCTCAATATTTTGATTACAAATGTATGAAGCTCAGCATATTGGCCTTAATTTGGCATATATATTTTTATTTTAGTTATTATTCTTTATTTTAATATTTTAATGGCAATTTTTTCACCTCAATCTCGATTTTTAGAAGCATATATACAATATTTCTTTGGGTATTTATTCCTGTCTGCCACCACCCATTTCTGCCACTGGTTAAGTGTGTGTAACAGCGAGACGCACACATGAATATATGTGTATTTTTCAGACATAATCTAAAAGCAGTGCAGCTGCATCTCCTCCTTATCCCAGGTCACATTGGCATTTGAAGAACAAAGGGCTTGCTCTCTTGAACGGTGTGTGACCTCCTCCATGCCCCCTCATCTCCAAGCAGACACACATAACTGCCCTTATTCACCCTCTCCAATCCCCCCTTCCCAGTAGCCCCCAGGAGAACTCACCCCACCACCCCTATCCTCCCCCCCTTCCTCTCCCATGACTCACCTCTTGGGCTTGCATCAGTCAGCAGAAAGCTGTGGTCGGGGCCTGTTGCATGTCCCCCCGCCAACAAACACACACACACACACACACACACACACACACACACACACACACACACACACACACACACACACACACACACACACACACACACACACACACACACACACACACACACACACACAC